AGTAGTGTCTTGACGTGGATGAGGCAGCTGGCTCTCTGGAAAGCTCGGTGAAGGCTTGGCGTGGCAGGAACAGCGTCGGCAGCAGTTGTTTGGACCACTTGGCGTCAGAGGCGTCGGCGCTGGATGTTCTGGAATTAACGGCGGCTGGGAGCTAGGGTTTGAAAACCCTAACTAAAACCCCAAAATAATTTGGGCTTCTCGAGCCTAGTTCAAATTGGTTGTAAAACGAGCCTGGATTGTTTGTATTTGGGCTTGTAATAATTATTTAATAATAATTTAATATATATAATATAATAATAATATTTATAATAATAATAATAATAATAATAATAATTTAAGTAAAATGAAAAATTGGTGTTTACAAATATCTCGACACTTTGCTGATACGATAACATTTTAATGTTTTAATTTAATTTAAATTATTAGTAATAATTAGTTGATTCATTTAATGCATGATTATTAGATTAAGAATTAATTTTTGTAATTATTTATTTTTAGGAGAAGGACCGTGTATTATATCATTTTATTAAGAATCTTAAGTTAGTGATACCCAGCCGTGTCTTGCCGTATTTAGTAGAGGTTGGATTCAGTTACATAGGTAGATATCAGGGTCACTGTAAAATAGAGCCAGACCTGATTTCTGCCTTAGTAGAGCGGTGGAGGCCGGAGACCACACATTCCATCTTCCGTGCGGAGAGTGCACGATCACGCTTGAGGATGTTTCTATGCATATGGGGCTTCCGGTGGATGGAGATGTGATATCGGGGATAGCTTCCGGTTCTTGGACTACTTTGTGTCGGGATAGTCTAGGATGTGTCCCGGAAAATTTTATCGGAGGTAGGATACCGTTAAATTGGTTAGATGCCAATTTTTGGGAGTTGAGCGCAGACGCCTCTGAGGATGAGGTTAAGATGTATGCACGGGCATGCATACTGCAGTTGATAGGAGGGTTGCTGATGCCGGACAAATCGAGCAACCTAGTTCACTGCACGTGGTTGCGACATCTTAGCGACTTTCGTCTCGCCAGATCATTCAGTTGGGGCTCGGTAGTTTTGTATTTGCTGTACAGGGAGATGTGTGGAGCCACTGACTACAGACGTAATGCTATCGGCGGATGTCTCATGCTACTGCAGTCTTGGGCATGGTATCGATTACCCTTTTTATGTCCTGTTGTGAAGAACCCATTCGTATTTTCACTACTTCTGAGGTAATTATAAAATTGATTTTGTATATTAATAATTTTATAAAGCGTATAACAAATTTTTTTCCTTGAATAGGTGATCTACTGATAGGAAAAATCATCAGGAGCTATCTGATGATTTAGAAAAAATTAGGGTGATAATCGATCAGAAGGCTGGCACACAGGTATGAATTTTAATGTTTAAAAATCGATTTTAGATTATAGTTATATAATTAGATTATTATTTTGATAAAAATTATATATTATTTGTTTTAGTTTGAATGTGTGTCATATTCTACTAATGATGTGAGGGCGGTGATCCCACCTGAGTTGAGGGGTCCATTAGATATTTGGATGGCGATGGTCCCTCTGATCTGTTATGCGACCGTCGAGTGGCACTCCACTGATCGCGTGCTCTGGCAGTTTGGTTGTTTTCAACCAATTCCGGAAGCACCTCGCAATATGGACGAGTTGCATAGCTTAGATAGACGCGGCAAGACAGATACAGATTGGCTGGTGAGGCATCATGGGTGGGTTGTGTTGTGGGAGGATCGACATCGGCGCCTTCCCCGTAGAGAGCCCATTTTTGATGACCTCTTGATGTATGCTGAGGATTATTATGAGTGGTTCAACAGTAACGGGAAACCGTTTCTACTACCCGAGGATGCACGAGGGCAGACCTTTCCACGACGTCGACAAAGACGTTCACCGACACAGCACCATCGTTCCCCGACTCGTGGACGGAGAGCAGGTACTTCCGGTTCATCCTCAGCTGCACCAGCAGGACCTTCCCAGCAGCCACCGCAGCCATATATGATGTCGTCATCGTCTTTCCATTACCAGATGTCGCCGCCGCAGCCTTCACCTGGTTTTATGACCCCCGCCACCGCCACCGTCACATATGACCCCTCCTGGAGGCTATTATGGGTCTATGTTTGCATATCTGACTTGGGGTTCATATGCTGGATATTTGGCGGGTTCATCCTCATCACCTATGGCCGCAGCACAGACACCTCCTGTACAGTTTTCACACTCCACGATGTCTGGATTTTCCCAGTTTTCGCATGCCGGTGGGATAGTCAGTCATACACCTCCAGGGTCCTTATTATATGGAGGTGCTTCATCGTCATCAGCTCCCCATCAACCTGATGTACCTGCTCAGGACGACGACGATGATGACGACGATGGTGACGACAATGATGACAGCGAGGAGTCAGAACCAGTGATACGAAGAAATCCTCCTCGAGACCGACAGCCACCACCATGCGGAACACATTCGCGACGCATGCATCGATAGATTTTTTTTATTATATTTGTATTTACTTTATTTTGTTTAATTGTAATTTTTTATTATTTCTCATTTAATACTTACTTTGTCAAATGGAAACTGCACATATGGTTGCGTAGATGATATCTCTATATGGTCAAAGAAATTTGTAGATGAATGCCTTCCCTTGAACTAGACGCGGTGTTGCCATACGGATTGTTCGTGGACCCACCTCGGTACATATCAAAGAGTTATGTTTCTCTTGAATGATATTTTAACACGCTCATTTGATACGAAAACAATGCTGGTTTCATCTTCTCGAATTTCATCATCATAATAAACAATAGCTGAAAGTCGCGCCATTCTTTGAGTTTAAAAGTACGTCAATATTATATCTGCAAATAAATAACTTAAACAAACCTAATTAAATAAATTATATATGAACGAAAATATAACACAATAAATTTTTTACACATCAACGTAAATAATTTAAAAAAATATAATTTTATATTATTACCTGCACCGCAAAACTATTTCGACGTATGCTCCCGTTTTTCAATTTTACAAACATAAAAATTAATTGAAAATAATTAGTATAATATTTGTTCAAATAATGATAATAAACAATAAGTATAATTAAAAAATTATAACAAAATTACCTTATAACGAAAAATCGCACGAACTTCTAAATCAAATTTGAGAAGATTGCGAGAATTATTACTCGTTGACGGAATTGTTATATTAATTTATAAGAGAGAGAGATGCGAGCTGGAGGAGTGTATTTATAAGCATATAAGGCGTGGTACATGTAGCGCGCTATATGTAATTATTCAGATAAAAGATATAGTACGGATCAGAGACCGCGTTAAATATAATTTCGACGTATAGCGCGACCCCTGATCGACGTATAGAGGATCAGTGGCGCGCTATACCCACGTGACGTCAGATCACCGTATATCGCGGGATAGGGGGCGTTATACCCACGTGACGCCAGATCACGTATATCGCGGGATAGGGGGCGCACTATACCCACGTGACTCCAAATCAGCATTTAACGCGGTGCAGGGACACGCTTTTCTGCTAAGGGTGTTAAATCGATAAATATAATCTACCGACGTTAGATAGATAATAATACCGATTATACCGGAAAAATAACAGTCTCTCTCCCTCTAAAATTCGATCTAAAACACTTCTTTTTCTCTGTTCTATTTTTATTTTCTCTCTCTTTAATTTTTAATCATCTTTTTTGCTCTTCTATAGATCGGAAGGCAGCTTATAAAATCGAACTTGGTGGATGGATCTGAGATTGAATTAGATTGGGTAAACGGGACAAACGCGATCTAAGGGAATTAGGGTTTTGAATTTGAGAGTGAGGAAAATTAGGGTTTGATTTAGGGGGATTTTTAGGACATGGTGAAAGGTAGGTTTTTGTACGGATCAAGGGTTCGGATTTGGTGAGAAAGGGGAGGAAATTAAAGATAGAGACAAGGAGGGGGCATTAATGGTATTCGAAGGGGAAAATGCAAGGCTATGCATGGACGGGGGAAGTGAGGAGAGGAAAAAGTCCCTACACGTGCAACGGCTGGTCTGAGTGGTGATGGTGTGCTTCGATCTTCTTCTTCATCTACCGTTGATTTCATTTCAAAGGTATTGCTTTTTAAAACATTTCTTCAGCTTTGATTTGATTCTATTATGTTTTCTTTTATTTTATCGGTTTTTATCTTCGTTTGCTTGTCGTCGGGTGATTTAATAAGAGAGGTTTTGTTAGATTGATTTGGAGGAAATAAAGTAAGGTGTTCACTTTGTCCTGTGGGGATTTTGAGATGGTGGCTTAACTGGTGGTGGGAAGCGTGGAATTACTCCTAATATTCTTGGATTTTATTGCCTTGGTGTTGAATTAGCTGGGGTATTGATTAGTAGGAAGGCATTTAACTTTTCATCTTTGGGGTGGATTGTTTGGCTGAGGTGTAAGTGTAAGGACTTTTGGCTTGATTTTTTTTCGTGCACAGTTTCAGTTCTGGGAAGCGGTGTCTTACATTATACTTTGAGTAGTGATTGAGAAAAGTATGTTTCCTTGGCCCAATTTACATTTTTTCTAAAATATTTTTGTGTGCAATACCAAAATGGTTTAGTTTTCTGAAATTTATAATTGTGTACTTTGAGGAGTAGTTGCTTAGGATGCAATGGGGTGTTTCTTCTTTATCAAATCTGAAGGAATTTCCAGACAGAAGAAGTGTTTGGGAGACAATATATATATTTAGATACACCATAGATCAATGTGTATGTGTTAAATTATGGGAGTTTGTCTACTATTAAGGAGAAGTAATCACCAGGATTTTTGTTCTTCAGAATTTGGGAAAATTTTCCAAGTTAGGACAGCCCTAATCATTAAACTTTCCGGTAAGGAATCAGTTTCTGGTTAATCATTTTGGAGGCAGAGAAATAATCACCAGGTTTATAATTCAAAATACGGGAAATGTTGTCTATATTTATAACAGCTTGGAGCATGAAGTAATATTTCCATTGGGAAATAGTTTCTGTTATTTATTAGTGATGGAGGATTGGGAAATATTTGTATGTAAAGATCTGATACTCATACTAGACATAGAGACTTCTCTATTGCCTAGGAATTAGGAAGGAAGGAAGTATATAATGTTACATGTGGTGGATTGGCCTATGCAATGAGTTTGACTTTCTTAAATATTACAAGTAGCAATATATATAATTTTTGAAATCTTTAACTTGAATCATATTATATACTGGCAGCATTTTATATTATGCTACTACTGATGGCCTTGGAAGCAATAAATGCAATAATTGTTTCATATTCATGGTTTAACCTACATGTATATGAGTAAGAAGATATGGTTTTTTTTATGCCTGATGTTGTCTTGGTTAAATTATAACGAAATTATGTAGGTAGAGTCATATCTTATTTCTAGCTTGTAATATGATAATTAGTATATAGAAATGTATTAGCATGTTGTCGATGGAGCCATATATGATGATAAGGTGCATCTTAAACATATCCTAGGATTTACTGAGGAATGTATGATATAAGTATTGAACACTCAATATGAGAATAGACAAATTATCCTTTGCTGTTCTAAATACTAGTATATTAAGCTTTGAACATATCTGAATTGCTGTAACTCCTTTCTGTGGTGCAGTCTGATGACTTGGGAATTATTTATGTGCAATTGGCTCTTAAGTTGTATTTTAATGATACTGAAGTTATGGTTTAATATCGGTTGGAGCTTTTCATCATCTGATTGTGAATTTACTGCTGAGAAACAAATTTGTTTAGAAGTTGACCGGTCATGCTCTATATGGTGTTTTATGCATATTTTTCCATACCTATGAATCTCAAAATTCTTTCTTATCTAATAAAGCTGTGTTATTGGAATCACAACATATCTGAGTGGTTGAACACTTGCATTCCTTTTTCGTTATAAATTCCTCTTTTTCTCACTGATAAAATTTGCAAACATGGATAATTTACTACTTTACTGACATTACCTGTTTTCCTCCCGATACGATGGACGCAGGATCAGCTCTTCAAACCATTCCAAGATTCTGCACCTTTCTTTGGGGTAATTCTTTGTCCAACTTCTGATAAAAAACAAGTTAAATTTGTGTGTGAATTATTGACCTGCTGAAGTAAAGCTTGGCAAAGGCATTCTCTTGGAAGCTGTGCAAAACGAAATCTTTTATTCCTCTCGAGGATGAGATTCCTGCTGCCTTGGTACGTTGAACTTCCATCAGGTATTTGCTCATTTGTGTGTTGGTGAGTTTAGGACGTTACAAACAAGTGTATATGGTGGCGAACTGATCAAGTTTATATTGATGTGAGTGCCAGATGCTCTTGCATGTCTTATTAATGTCACTTTTAGTTGACATTTTCATTTGTATTTTTTTTATCAGGAACATCGAGAAGTAGATCAACTGTTGAATAAGACGTGTTTAGAGATGCATGCAACGGTGCAGAAGGGTGGCCTTTCTCCAAAGCCGATAAATGGTCCGACATCAACATCACAGTTAAAACCTGGTTCAGATAGTGTACAAAACAGTGCTTCCTCATTTCCCTCCCAGGGTAAGGGAAAAAAGAGGGAGCGTGGTGATCAAGGCCTTGAGCCTGTCAAAAGGGACCGAACTAGTAAAATGGATGATGGGGATTCTTGTCATGGTAGACCAGATGTTAATTTAAAATCTGAGATTGCAAAAATTACTGAGAAGGGGGGACTAGAAGATTTCTCGAGAGTTGATAAGTTGGTTCAGCTCATGTTATCAGAGAGAACTGAGAAGAAAATAGATTTGGTGAGCCGGTCAATACTTGCTGGCGTGATAGCAGCTACAGACAAATTTGACTGCCTTAGTCATTTTGTTCAGCTCAGAGGGTTGCCTGTTTTTGATGAATGGCTTCAGGAAGTCCACAAAGGGAAGATTGGTGATGGTAGTGGCTCCAAGGATGATAGATCAGTCGACGATTTTCTTTTAACCTTACTCCGAGCTCTTGATAAACTCCCTGTAAATCTCACAGCGCTGCAAATGTGTAACATTGGCAAGTCTGTGAATCATTTGCGTAGTCATAAGAATATAGAAATACAGAAGAAAGCAAGAAGTTTAGTTGATATATGGAAAAAACGAGTTGAGGCTGAGATGGATGCTAAGTCTGGTTCAAATCAGGTTGTTCCCTGGTCTGCTAGAGATCGTCTTTCTGAAGTTTCTCACGATGGAAGCAAGCAATCTGGATCATCTGAGGTTGCCATGAAGAGTTCAGCTAGCCACTTTGCTGCCTCCAAAACTGGTTCGGTTAAGCTTGCTCAAGGAGAGACCACAGTCAACTCTGCTTCTGCATCACCAGGACCCATGAAGGCTGCAACATCTCCTGCTTTTGCCAGTACAAACTTAAAAGATGGGCAGGCACAAGATGCTACTGTCGTTGGCCCCTCTGACCCTCACGCAACCACTAGGGATGAGAAAAGCAGCAGTTCTAGTCACTCCCACAACTATAGTCAGTCTTATTCTAGTGATCATGGGAAGACGGGGGGGTTTTCTGGAAAGGAGGATGCAAGAAGTTCTCCCGCTGGTTCAGGAACAGTGGCTAAGATCTCAGGTAGTTCTTTACGTCACCGGAAATCCATTAATGGTTTCCCAGGACCATCAGGGGTTCAAAAGGAAGCTGGATCTAGCAAAAATTCTTCTTTGCATAGAAATCCTGCTTCAGAAAAAATATCTCAGTCGAGTTTAACATGTGAAAAGGCGGTGGAGCCTCCTATGGCTGAGGGTAATAGTCATAAGTTCATTGTTAAGATCCCAAGTAGGGGTAGAAGTCCTGAACGAAGTGCCAGTGGGGGATCTCTTGAGGATCATCCTGTCATGAATAGCAGAGCTTCTTCTCCTGTGCTGTTAGAGAAACATGAGCAATTAGATCGTAACATGAAAAAGAAAAGTGATAGTAATCGGGCAAATTTTATCAGCGATGTGAATACTGAATCTTGGCATAGTAATGACTTCAAAGATGTGTTGACTGGGTCTGATGAGGGAAATGGTTCACCCACTGCTGTTCCCGATGAAGAAAACTGTAGGAATGGAGAGGATGCTAGGAAAACAACTGAAGTTACGAAAACTGCTTCCTCATCATCTGGAAATGAAATTAAATCAGGGAAACTGCAAGCGGCTTCTTTTAGCTCCATAAATGCTCTAATTGACAGTGTCAAGTACTCTGAAGCAAGTGAGTGCATGCCGGTTGGGGATGATGCTGGAATGAATTTGCTTGCTAGTGTGGCTATTGGAGACTTCTCTAAGTCAACTGTGGCTTCGCCTATTGATTCTCCGCAAAACAATACTCCACTTTTTGAGCATTCTTCCATGGGAAATGATACAAAACTAAAACCTCCTACTGGGGATGAGGTTGTTCAAAATCGAAATCAGTTTGCTGAGGTTGTGGATGATGAGCATCTAAATCAGGGTGTTGCTGCTGGTAATCCTTGGGCAAAAGATGCAACCGGCATGACTGGTTCTGCTCTAGAAAAATTTGGAGAGCTGAATGAGCATTTAGCTTCATCAAGTATGGTGTTGCCTCAGATTGTGGACCAACGCCTTGAAAATGGTAAATTAGAGGAAATCATAACAGCTGCTTTAGTCAATATGCCCTCTGCACACACTATAGAGAAAACTACTGATATAGGAGATTCCAAAGAGCATATGGAGAAAAAGTCTGGCAGAATGGAGGATGATTGCAGTGTGGACGCTAAGCTAAAGGGGAGCACTTCTGTGGTGAATGAAGAGGTCATTGATCCATTTGTAGAAGTGGAGAAAGAAGTGGTTGAAGGATCTTCATCTGCACCTTCAATTGAAATTGATGTTGATAACAAGAAAAATGTCATCGTAAGTTTGCAGAGAGGTTCACAAACTCATCAGAAGTCGCCAGTTGTTATTGGACATTCCATAAAAGTAACAGATAAAGAAGCATTTTCTCCTTGTCCTACTAATGATATGGTTTTGGAAAATGTTGATGAAGACAAGCCCAAGAAGGATGTTGAGATTGATGCAACAAGTCATGCCAGTCACAGTGAGAACAAAAAGCCCGAGTCAGAAAGTAATGTTTCTCTGATTATTTGGCTTAATTAAGTTTGAAGTACTTGTTTTTTTTAACTTCCTTTTTGCATTTTTTTTTTATTTTTTCCCCTCACTAAACTGGTAATTAAATTGAATATTTTTTGGTTCAGTTGTCACTGCCCAGAAAGGAGAGCACGTGCAGGAGAACTTGGAATGTATTGAGGATCATGATCCACTTGCTGGACCATCTCCCTGTAAGGTGACTGGTTTAGAAGCAGGTGAAGCGGAAGAATGCACATCAATTACTACAGATACACCTAGAGGTGTTGCAGCTACAAATTCAAAAGTAAAATTTGATTTGAATGAAGACTTTAACGTGGAGGAGGGGAAATCTATGGAACCAAATAACTTGACAGCAGTAGTATACTCAACTCCTATCCATATAGTTAGCTCATTGTCTTTCCCTGATAATTCTGTGTCTAGCAGCCTTCCTGCATCAGTTACTGTTGCTGCTGCAGCTAAAGGGCCTTTTGTTCCACCACATGACCTACTAAGAACTAAAGGGGCACTTGGTTGGAAGGGATCGGCAGCCACAAGTGCGTTTCGGCCAGCTGAACCCAGAAAAAGTTTAGATATGCCTCTGGGTACAAATAACACTTACATTCCTGATGCTACTACTGGGAAACTGAGTCGGCCCCCGTTGGATATTGATTTGAATATACCTGATGAGAGAATCCTTGAGGATCTTGCTCTCCGAAGTTCTACTCGGGCACAGAGTCTGCACTAGACCTTTCAAAAATTCGTGATTTAAAATGTGGATTGGTGGGTTCTGCACCCATTCACTCCTCTGCTGGACTTGATCTTGATTTGAACAGAGTTGATGAGCCTGCCGATTTGGATAATCACTCAAGTGGCAATAGTCGTAGAGCCCCTATGCATCCAATAAAGTCATCAGTTGGTATTCTTAATGGTGAGGCAAGTTTCCGCAGGAACTTTGATTTGAACAATGGACCCGCTGTGGATGAGGTGAGTGCTGAGCCCTCACTATTTAGCCAACATAATAGGAACAGCAATGTGCTATATCAAGCACCAGTTCCCAGCCTGCAGATAAACAACACCAATATGGCAAATTTCTCATCATGGTTTTCTACAGGGAATACATACTCAGCTGTTTCTATTCCGTCATTTTTTCCTGATAGGGAACAACCATTTCCAATTGTTGCAACTGGTGGACCACAAAGGGTGTTGCCCCCCCCTACTGGCGCTACCCCTTATAATCCTGATGTCTATAGAGGACCTGTGTTGTCATCTGCACCAGCAGTGCCCTTTCCATCGACTCGTTTCCAGTATCCTGTGTTTCCCTTTGGAACAACTTTTCCACTGCCTTCAACCAGCTTTTCTGCCAGTTCAACAACTTATGCTGATTCATCTTCTGGTGGGAGGTTTTGTTTCCCCACAGTCCATTCGCAATTGTTGGAAACTGCTGGTGCCATTCCGTCCCATTTCCCCAAGCCACCCTATGTTGTTAGCCTTCCTGAAGGTAGTTATAATAGTGGTGTTGAGAGTGGAAGGAAGCGGGGAAGGCAAGGTCTAGACTTAAATGCTGGATATGTAAAAAGCCCGGACATGGAAGGAAGAGATGAGACAACATCTCTTGCATCTAGGCATATGTTGTTGCTAGTTCACAGGCCATGGCAGAGGAGCAAGCAAGAATGTATCAGGTACCAGGTGGGGTTCTGAAAAGGAAGGAACCTGAGGAAGGATGGGATGGATACAAGCAATCTTCATGGCAGTAGGAATCGTTATATATCACTGTGTGGTGTCCCATTAAAGCAGGTGAATCATTTATGTTTCTTTCTAAGCTCCTTTGGAAAGGCCTTTATATTTTCTTCCCCCACTTTGCCTACTTCTACGCCCACTCTTGATAGGGGACAGGGAAAGAAACTACATCAGAATTATGGATTTCTTCATATACTAATTTGGTGTTTATTTCTTTTTCAGTTCTTCAAGGACAGGATCTGGCTAACCTCCAGAGGTCTTCTAACCCGGTTTCCTCTTAGTGGAGGGTGGTAAGTGAGTCATTTGATGTTGTTCATAGTCTGCAACCCCACCTTTTCACCGTATCAACTGTACTGTAAAAGAATCTGTTTGGGGTATGCAAGCTTTGTTCCTTGAATCTGTTCTGGACAAAGATCATTTTCCCTTTGTAGATATCAGAACTGTTGGAAATCATGCCCTTATGTTGCCTGGACATTAGAAATTGGTGCCCATACTGGTTTTTAGTGCATATCTTTCTTGATCTTCCCCCCTTCCCCCTTAAATTTTCTTATTTTCCCAATTAAATGGTCACCGAATTTTGATACTGAAGCCTTCTTTGATGTGGCATGAACTAGTTGCTGTGGTTGATCATGTATTCAAATCGTTTATTTTAATGGTAAACCCTAATTGTAGTTGATGTGCTCTACAGTTTTAATTGGTGTCAAGTTTAGGTGCTATCAATGTTATTAGGAGTGCAGTGAAGTTTAATAATAACCAAACACTACTATGGGCAAGTATATACCATCCGTTCTTTTGCAGTGTGAATATTTTGCTGTTGGTTGATCAGCCAGTGACATGTACACATCAAATTTTCATTTGTCTATTCTTTAGCGACAATGGCAATGTTATGTTCAGTTCAGGTCTATGATTGTGCTTTAGGATTTTGTAAGTGCTGGTGCGTAAGTTTGTTTGTGACCCCTTGAAGTAAGGCTAAGGTTGGCATTCAATTCAGTTGAACTGAGTCAAAGCTACTCTGATTTCCAAGATTCGTGTCTATTTCTCGACAGTAGTGTCTTATGGAGAAGAATTTTGATTGACCAATGGTTAGCCAGAAATTGTGCTTGCATTTTGTTTAATACGTGCATGGTATGTTTATTAATGATCAGACTTGCGCACAAATAAAAAGATGTGCCTGAACATTAAGATGCACAGTAGAAACTCTGATCATGTACTTGAAATCATGTTTTGATTGTTATAACTTAATCTGGATTGTCCTGGACGGCCGTTTAGCTTTAGCTTGGAAAAAGAGAATTGAAAATAATAATAAAAAGTTACCTTTCAAATTAATGGGAAAATGAAACTATTGTTTTAATTCCCGGAAGAATTGAAACTGATTTTATAGTCCAGAAGAAATGGAAATTAAAGAGTACATGACCTTATAATTACGAATATGTTGTCATTTTGTATATTTGTTTTCTTTTTTCATTATTTCACTACTTTCCATTCAACCTTCCACTTCTTCACCGACTCTTTCTGACAAGAACTTCCAGGAGAGATCAATCTTTGTATAGTGTGAATTTCTACAATATTTAGACAACCCATAAGGGGCGAAGAGAAATACAGACTGCTTAATCTTTAATTAATTAGGGGTCCGGATGATGCAGTTCAAATATAGGAAAAGCTCTGCTCAAGGTGAATTGAATAAGACTCCTTGATTGTATGAAATTACGGATCACGTATAACATAACTCAGAGTACTCCACAAGCTAAAAAGAAATCAACCACAGTGAGGGAGAAGTAACTGAGTAATCCACTACAAGCAAACTCACTTGATCCTGTTGGCTAGAAAGAATCTCTAGGCGAAGACAAGGGTACCAGGAGGAGCATAAGGTCTTGGTTTCAAAGGATATCTGTTTCATTTAGGAGGCACAAAGGTTTTTCCGCAGAAGACGTTCCTGCAAATTGAATGAAAAAACGATCATGCCTGGGATTAAAGAAATACAACAGATTTTGGACTTTTAAAAGTATTATAGTAATATTACGTTAAAAAAATGTCAAACAAAAGCAAAGCATGCAATGCAACTAGCAAGTTGGAAACTTTTGTTCTATTTGATTTAATAGAACATAAGCAATTACTCCCATCCCTAACCAAACTCAATTTAAAAGCATCAAAATACACGACTCAGGAATTCATTGTGCTGAATGTCATTAACATGGAGATCAAATGTAGCATATCATATCTAGACTACCCAAGATCGAGACTTACTAACGAGGGCTGTAAAATTCAAATTCACAGGAAAGCACTACTATCAGGGTTATATCTAAAAATTAGTACCTCAACAGTTGCCCTTGGGCAAAAAAGTGGATTTAAAAATTTCTCAACACAAACAGAATGTCATGCAAGAAAATTTCACATGTTAGACAATCAGATGGTAAGGTAATATAACACGCGCCCAGAAATTTAAGAAACAAAAATACCGACATTAGACATCCTCGACTTGGCTTTTTCTTCTTTTCCTGTTTCTGATTCTCCTTCTGTTTCTGTGGTGGCTTGATGACAACCTTGATTGCAGCATCAAAAACTGCTTTCACATTCTGTAGATGTGAGGAAATCATAACTGAATAGGGAAATATATTAAACAAAAGATGTCATGTGTTTTGATATAACCTCATAAAGACAAATAGTATATCAATGAATGAAAAATTTTGAAATAGGATCTTTATTATTAAGTAAATGAGATGATGCATATCAATAGATGAAGGCCTAACGAGTTATCAAGTTCAAAGAGTTCATTTCTATAAACCAGGCCACTAAGAGCTCCTCCGAGGTGTCCTCTAGAGACCCAAGTCCACCAATGCCATTAGTAGGGAGTAGGTGTCAAGTTTTTGTCATACCCGCTGTGTTTTTGAGCTGCACTCAATGTAATAAGCAGCACCAATCTGTTTGCGGAGCTCTTCACCCTGTTTTGATAGGATGATTAAGGTTCTAAATCACCAAAAAATCTATTAGATATACCCCCAATGAGCGAAATCACACCTGTGCAGTGCTAATAGGCAGCAAACCAGGATGATCAGCCAGATAATGTTTGTCTTCACGGAGATCTATTTGTCCATTTTAAAAGAAAAATTAGCATGTCATCCAGCAAACGGACACATAAAACTCACAATTCTGCTGAATTACTAAATTCAACTTTGACAGGCACCTTTTGAAGGACATGGATCATTCACATATCAATTCAAAAGGGCACCATAAAAGTTGCAGGCTCACTAAAATTATAATCCCCTTTTCAGAAGATGTGATAACCCACGATTTTTATTTCTACATGAAAGCGGTAAACTGTCCATGTGGTTGATTAACTGGTGAAGTGGTCTGTCCAGAAAAACTTAGAAAACGCAACACAAGAATAAAGCAAAAAATTCCGGAGGTATATTGAAATGTACTATGAACACCCTTTTTTCCGAGAAGAGGATACTAAGCTTTTTAACTGGCAGTGGATCACTAAATTCCAAATTTGATATTGAAGTAATCAGGTAGTTCTGCAGATGCAACTGACAAATATTCTGTAAACTCCGTGTCTTCAATTTTTCATTTAGTTTTCTGATGAGCATGGCCGTTAATAAATCAAAACAAGATTAAAATAGCGTATTGATATTCAAGCAAGCCTGAGTTCAGACCTATGGTTATAACAAAATAGCATCGAAACCATCTTGGCAGATTCAGGGGAAATTTTCTATTCATTTGTTGTCCCAAGCCTTAACTGCCTTGGTCTATATTGTTCGTCCTCTACAAGACACATAACTTCGTCTAAACCAAATCTCTAGCACATCAGGTAGTTACCGTTACACACATAAATCAGTGCCACTAGTGGTACCTCTTCATTATAATTACTGCATACATGAGTCTCTTTTCAGTCATTATCAAACTAAAATCACCAATTTCAGATGCACATAAAATTGACAAATTCTGTTTAAGAAAATACACCCTTCATATATCCCTGACAAAGCTCATTGCTTGCAACGTTTACCGACTGGGGTCAGAAATATTACTCCACTTGAAAGTATGCTTATCACTAGCTTTTAAATTATATCTCTAGAATGCGAAAAACTAAATTGAGATCAAATCTGATTGAAAATTAAATGACTATAGAAATTCTAAAGATGTGGTTGCACAATTACCCAATTTGGTGCCAACCAGAACCACAGGGACACTTGGGGCATAATGTTGAAGTTCAGGGATCCACTGTCAAAGGAAATCAGTGTGTCAGAGAATTGCAGACCATAAACATAAGACAACTCAATTGTAGAAACAAGTTGAAGATCCTGGACAATCACCTTTTTTAGTACATTCTCATAGCTCGCTCGACTAACTAATGAGAAAGCTAAGACAAAAATATCTGCAGCTCTGTAACTAAATGGCCTTAATCGATTGTAATCCTCTTGTCCTATAAAAAATCGTCAAAACTTCAAAACAGGTTTAAATTTTCAGAAAATGTTTATCGAATTTCATTTTTTTAAAATAGAGAGAATAAAGAACTTCTTGGAAAAGTCAGTGCCACACCGCTGTAAATTGGAACCTTTTTTTAGCACAGTTTTTTTTTGGGAAAGGGGTATGTATGATTAATCAAAGAATCATACAGATGGGATCATTTCCATGAGCTTGTTAAAAAAACCTCCCTAGATCGGTGTGGAGGAAAAAGAGTGCTCATGACAATGAACAAAGAGTCCTGAAATAAATGGAACACAGTTTTGAAGTAGAGGATAAACATAAAAGCATAAAAAGTCAAGTAGAAATGATACCAGCCGTGTCCCAAAGACCTAAGTTCACAGTTGTGCCTTCAACTACAACGTTGGCACTGAAGTTGTCAAAAACCGTCGGTATGTAATCCTGACAACAATTCCAAATAAAATCCCGGATTCAAACTATAAAGGGACAAAAGAAAAAGATCCCGTGAAATTGAAGAACAAGAAAAACCCAGATTAGAAAATTTAGCTAAGTTGCAAGAACCTCAAAGACATTTTTCATGATCATGAATAATTAAGCAGGACATGGAACAAGGTGGAAAAAAAACTGGTAACTTCAGTAGCTAAAACCTTAAAAAGACGACTACAAAAGAGCAAGAAAACTTAGATATATACCCAAAGAGATAAGAATATAGGGAAAAAACACAACATACGGTGGGGAACTTGTTACTTGTATAACAAATAAGCATGCAAGTCTTGCCAACAGCTCCATCTCCAACTGTTACACATTTGATAAACCTCGAAGCACTTGAAGCCATTGATACAAAAAACAATAAAGCAAATACGAAAAAAAACAGAGAAAAAAAAGTTGTACAGATTTTATGGATGGATAAATTTATGATCTTTTGAGTTGGTTTTTGGATTTAAAGATGAAGAGTGGGGTGGATCACATGATTCTCACCCAATTCACTTTCGGTAGCAATTATATTACTATACTACTTACTTTTATATCATTTTTTTCACTTTTATTATATACGCTATATAAATTTGATAATTTGAGGTATTGTACAAAAATATAATATTTTTTAATAAGTATAAAAATAATATACATAATTAAGTTTTGGTAAACGGTTTTTATTTTTTTATATTTATAAAATGATGATAAAACATAAACATTTCACATAAATTTTCGGAACATAAACCTCAAAGAAAAAAATATATGTTTAGTTTTAAAAAATATTTATTTTTATTTTTATTGATACATAGAGTCTCTAAGGAATAGATTAAATTATCTATGTTATGGTTTAGTAGGGGTCAAATAAGGCTCCTGGGTCTGATGGGTAACCTCCCACCTTTATAAATTTGCTTGGGAGATTGTTGGGGAGGATATTATTAATGATATCAATTGGATTTTTGAATCTTCCAAGATGCTTCTGACTTTCAATGCCACTACCTTGATGCTTGTTCCAAAAGTGGTTAATCTTAGTCGTATAAAGGGATTTCGACCGATTTCATGTTGTTCTGTAGTTTATAAATGTATTACTCAAATTTTGATCAAGATACTTCAACCCCTTCTGTCAAGGATTATTTCTAGTAGTCAGAGTGCCTTTGTTTCAGGGAGATCCATCACTGAGAACACTTTCATGGCTTAGGAGCTTGTTCATGGATATGGTAAGTCCATCATCTATCCTCGATGTGCTTTGAAGATTGATCTTCAAAAGGAATTTGACTCCATTGATTGGGAGTTTATCCTTGTTATCCTAGTTTCATTGGGTCTACCTTTGATTTTTATTGGTTGGACCCATGAATGTTTCACTACTGCTATTATTATGTTTCTTTGAATGGAGGTTTGATGGGGTTCTTTACGAGAGAAAAGGGGGTACGACAGGGGATCTTCTTTCTCCCTACCTCTATGTTTTTTCCATGAATATTCTATCTTAGCTATTGGATATGGTTGTAGATAGTAGAGTGTTCAGTTATCACCCAAAGTGTGGAAAGTTAAACTAACAAATTTATGTTTTGCTTGTCTTTACTAAAGGCACCTATGAGTCTATTCCTGGTGTTTGGAGGCTTATGGAAGTCTTCTATCATTTTTTTTGGTTTATACATGAATTCAGCTAAGTCATAAATTTTCTCCACTGGAGTTGATAGCTCTAACTTGCAGCTGGTGCTTGATTCTATTAGTATTCAAGCTGGTAATCTTCCAGTTAGATTTCTTGGTATTCCTCTAATCTCTAAACATTTGATGATTTAAGATTGTGCATTTCTCTTAAATAATATTTCGGCTAAGTTCCAAAGTTAGAAAGCTCGGAACCTCTCGTATGCGGGGAGACTTCAACTCATCTAAACTGTTCTCCACAACATTCACAACTATTGGTCTAGGCAGCTTTGTTTGCTGGGGGTTGTCATTAAGCATATCAATTAAATTTGTATATGGTTCTTTTGGAAGGGTAAGGATAAGCCTGATAATGACGCTTGGGTTAGACTGCCATTTGCTACCCAAAGTCGGAGGGAAGCCTAGGCTTTAAAGATATATTTTGTTGGAATCAAGTGTGTTACCTTTTGTTGATCAAGAAGATCCTTTTAGAAGAGGGTTTGATTTGGATTGCATGGATCTATTCGTATATGATAACTCCGTAAAATAATGTGTTCTGCGTCTTTTCACTTAGGTTATTGTTTGTCTAAAAGCCATTTGTCATAGCATTTTAGTTGCATATAGTTGCATTTAGGACATCTTTGCATATGGTGGATAAGTTTTGCTGAGGCAAACTTTATTTGGTATTAACTAATGCTGTTGAGGAGGAAGATTGTTTGTTGGTTGTGTTGATGCAGGAAATGACGAAGGAATAATTCATTTTCCGAGACAAATAAATTTGCTAGGGCCAATGGAGCATAAGAAGACGACAGTGAGGAGCATATTTTCTTGCCTAGGCGAGAGATATCTTGCAAGTCTGACTCAGCTCAACGGCACTGTTGACGTCACTTGCCCAGCTTCAGCCTCACGTGCAATCATGCCTTATTAAGTTAATTGAGACCACTGCTAGTTGATATATCATTCATAAAATGGGTATGACATTAATGGTATGACATTAATGGTATTTAGGGAATTTCCAAGGGCACTAAACCCTAGAAATTCCCACTATAAATACCTCATTATGATTCTTTAAAAAGGGGAATCAAGAAGAGAAGAGAAGAGAAAAGAATATACCAGAGGCTTTGAGTAGGGGGTTGCAACACTTACTTTAACACCATCCTCCACTCGACAGTCCTTGGTGCCCTTTATAGCCAGACTTCATTAAAGCGACGACCAGGCCTTGAGAGACGATGATCACCGGAGCAGGCATGGTGGTGGTCAGAATGTCAAGGCAGAGCTTTGATTTTTGGAGTTTTTCTTCCTTTCTTTTTTATTTCCATGTCGTTTAAAGGGTTGTACTTAAAGAATGATTTTTGAATGATATTTTCCATATCATAACTGTTTTATTTAGTGCTGGATGAAACTTGAATGATACTTTGTACAATTGTTAATGAATGGTGCGATTTTTGTTTATACTAAGTGTTGTTTTGTTCATTGTTGCAATATTTTACCTTGACGCTATAAGAGCCTTCGAGAGATTTCCTAGTGCCACGACAAAATATTCATAGTCTTTGTAAGAGCCTTCAAGAGATTGCTATTTTTCTAGGACTAGATGCCTAATATCAAGAGAGTTATGGTAGATCTATATGAACAAGGGATCTAATCCAGGATAGTGAGATTCTAATCCACCTTAGAGATAAGAAGAGTATTTCATTCGACAGAAAAGGGTAAACACTTGAGTAAAATTGGCCAAAGGCTATAGTTTACGCTGAGAGGTATTGTCGTAACAACAGTTTGACAAACCAAGGGTTGTAGTTCACGCAAAGTAGTATTGTCATAGCAAAAGACCTAAACCACTATAGTAAATTATGTCGGGCAACACAAGCATAGCATTCTGGCTCATCATAAATGTAGAATAATTTGCCACCATAGTAAGTCCAACCCAAATGCTCCATTAGAAGTATGATTGTGTGAGGTTTTTCTGAATATTTGACACTTGAACATTTTTATTGCTTTGACAACTTTTAATTGTTTACTTTTGCATATTTTTATTGCCTCGACCAAAATTTTCTACTCATTGCACTTTACAATTTTTCTTGCCTCGACAATATTTTCCATCTGTTCATACACTTTGTTATTGTTTGCTTTTTAGACAAGATCGTAGGACTAGTTAGTGACACCTAGTTCTAGTTGTTCCAAATATAAAAAATTCCCTTTAATCCATGTGGAGACGATAACTCACTTACTACTATATTACTTGCATCGATTGTGTATACTTGCACAAATTTACGTGCCACACACACACATTTACACGCGATCAAGTTTTTGGCGCCGTTTCCGCAGATTGGCAACTGGAGGAATTTTGATAATTTTTGCCATATTAACTTTTATTTTCTTGTCATATTTCTTTATTTTAGTTTTACTTGTTTGTTTTCTTATTTTTCTTTTGTAGGTTTTTGTCGTTGCATGACCAGGAGATCTGTTGACGAAACATTAATACCATTTTACCCTGAAATCGAGCAGTTATTCAGACAAAGGCAACACGCTCAGCATGTCTGAAACTATATGAATCGACTGCAGTTTTAAGCGTAGAACACTATGAAAGATCAGACATATCTCAATGTCACAGCAAATAATATTCCCCAAAATACTACAATACCACGAGCTATACGAGATCACTTAAATCCTATTCTCGATAATCTCAATCCTATAATCGTGGCACCGAAAATACAGGCAACCCACTTTGAACTCAAACTGATGATGTTCAACATGCTCAATTCTATTGGTCAGATTGGTGGCTTGCCTAATGAAGATGCTAGACAACATGTATGTACTTTCCGCGAAGTGTGTGACTCGTTTAGGCAACAAGGAGTGCACCAGGACGTGCTGAAACTAAAATTACTCCCATACTCTTTACGCGACCGAGCAAGAGCATGGTTGAGTGGAGTCTCATCCGACTCAATGGAATATTGGGCTGACTTATGCAAACATTTTCTATTTCGATACAACCCACCCAATATGCACACCCAGCTCTGCAATGACATTGCATGTTTTCGCCAAGGCGTTGACGAATATATGTATGAGTGTTGGGACATATACAAAAGTTTGCTACGAAAATGCACCAACCATGGATTCCACGACTGAACTCAAGTCGTCATGTTCTATAATGGTGTCAATGCACCTACTCGTATGATGTTGGATGCTTCGACGAATGACACTTTTCTCGACAAATCACCCGAGGAAGACTTTGATATTCTCAATCGGATAGCCAACAACGACTATGAATTCCCATCTACAAGGCTTTGAACCGAAAAAAAATATCTAGGGCATATGAACTTGAAGGTAAGGATTCAGTTTCTGCCCAACTTTCTTTCATAAATAACATGCTAAAAAATTTACAGCGTTCTAGTGAGGTGAAAGAAGTCAAAGCAATTAACTCAACATGCATTCTTTTCATGTCAACCATCATGAGAGTGAATGCCCAGAAAACCATGACTCTATCAATTTCGCAAGCAATTTTAATAGAAGCAACAACAACCCCTACTCTAATACATACAAATATGTATGGAGACAACATCCAATTTTTTCGTGGGATAATCAAGGGAATAACAATAACAACTATGTATGCAGTTTTAATAGGCCACAATAAAACGTTTATGAACATTCAAGTTTGCAACATCAACAAATGCCATGTCAAAATAATAATAAAGGTCATGCATATTCGTCAAATTCTAACTCCCTTGAAGCTTCACTACAGAAATTTATGGCCTCGAGAAAAGATTTCATGGTCTAAACAAAGACCTTGATACACATGCACTCATCGACAATCAAGAATCAAGGTGCTTTATTGCAAAGCCAAGCAACTCTATTACAAAGTCATAGTTAATCATTGAAGAATCAAGAGCAATGGAGA